TCTCGAAGTATTGTTTAAACAGTTTCTTTTGGTCAAGACATGTTATCTAATTGTGTTGTCCTTTGGATATACTTAGTTGCTTAATCCAAACATCTATTGATTTTGTATTTACTAAAAGTAAACTACTTATTTTGGAAGATAACCAATCTATTTTGAGAGATAAACAATATCGACTGTTTTGGAAAATTATATATTGATCTTTTGAAAAGAATAAGCTAAAACATCTACTTTTTGACAAAATTTCTTCAAAAAAAGTGGTTGGTCAAGAAAACTTTGTGAGTTTTTCCTTGTAAGTTTTACAATTGTATAGGGACTATCTCCAGTTTTTTAATATGCTTAATATCGACCTAGTCATTTTGTGTTCTTAGAATATTCTTCTGGTTTGAATGTTAAATATAATTTTTGTTAGTCTGATACAGGTTTATAACCATGACTATTAGATTATTTTTACACTTGTTCTTTCCTTTTCCCCTTTTGTAAGATTCTGAAGAATAGAGTTAAGAAATCTTAAGAAGCATAAGCGATTTTCTTTATTTATTGTTGTTTCTTTATTTTATTAATCTTACAAGTTACTTTTTATTACATTTAGAAAAGGGCGACTTTTATATATTTTGATTAATAATACATGTATAATCCTAAGTAATTAAATAGGTTAATTGCACAAAGCTAATTAATGTATCGCAATCTTAGTAATTTTATTTCCCAGGGCATATATGTAACTTATAAGGGTCATATAATAAATATAATGATACGATCATTATGCTAATAAATAATATAGTACGATCGTTATGCTAATAAATAATAATCGTCATATTAGTGTAAATAACAGGGCCACGGTTAGATAAATTATAAAATAATGATCTAAAAGTTGTATGCATTAACCCCAGCTTGTCCCTGTGACAAGTTCGTTAAACGTCTACTTATTGTTGCACATACGGGCTTGTACTATATATAAAAAAAGTAATTAGTAGCATGTGTTACTGTATTACATTCTCACCTTCTTAAAATCAACGTCTACATTGTATTTCAAATTCTCTAATTTTTGCAGAGGCGTTTCGTAAATTATCCAAGGGTTTCCATGTTGCTTCATATAACAGGTAACCCACCCATTTTACTAAATAATATTTTCTTTTGTTCACTACTTTTTGATCTAGAATAGATTCGACCTCATATTTCGTTTTTTGAGTTCCGGGTATAAAGATCACAGGTGGGGACACTAATCTAGCAAAGTTTTTTGATTCTTTGTATGGTTTTAACAGAGAAATATAGAATACTGTGTGGATTTTCTATTCATTAGGCAAGTTAAGTTTGTAGGCTACTTTTGAAACTACTTTAATGATTGAGTAAAGTCCTATATATTTAGATGTTAGTTTCTTTGTAGGTCTCTGTTTGTCAGTTGGACTAACTATATTTTTTGTTAATAATAGTACTTTATCACCTATCTTAAATTCTAGGTGATGACGCTTTTTATTTGTATATTGAGTTTGTCTTTGTTGAGTGATGATTAATGCATCTTTTGCTGCCTTGATCATATTGTCCCAGTGTCTGAAAAAGTTGTCTGTTGCTGATATATGGGTTTGAAGTTTAGCAGCTAGTGATGTTGGGATGTTGGGATGTTTCCCCATGTCTAACTCAAAAGAAGTGAAACCCATCGATGCTTGTTTGGAATTGTTATAAGCGAATTCAGCAGCTGGTAGGTATTTGTCCCATTGATCTTGCTTGTATATTGAATATATTCTTAGCATTTCTTCTAATGTTCTGTTCATTTTTTCTATTTGTCTGTCTGTCTGTGGGTGGAATGCTATTGATATAGCTAATTTAGTTTCTAATTGGGCAAAAAGAGTCTGCCAAAACTTGCTAGTGAATTTGGCATCCCTATCTGATATAATTACTTTCGGCAACCTGTAGTTCTTGAAAATAGTGGAAAAGAAAATCTTAGCGACTTCAGGGACCGTAACTGTAGTGTGGATGGGGCAAAAATAGGTGCATTTTGTTAGCTTGTCAACGAATACCAAAATAGCATCGTATCTTTTTTTTGTTAAGAGCAGTTGGACTATAAAATCTATGGTAATTTGTTCCCAGTGTTCCTTGGAGATGGCTAGGGACTGTAGAAGGCCAGTGGGTTGCTGATTATTACTTTTATTTCTTTGACACTAGTCACAGCTACTCATATATTTTTTTACATCTTTGTGGAGTTTTGGCCAAAAATAATTTCAACTAATCAATTCGTAAGTCTTGTCCATGTCCAGACGTCCCATCTTTTAACATCATAGTGTTCGTGAAGTAGTTGCATTCTTAATTTCTTGTTTGCTAGAATTGCCAATCTTTATTCTTCCTTTAAGTATATCTTTCCATCTACTAATTTAAAGTATTTTACTTGTGCCTGTTGTTTGATATTGCTGATTGATTCTTCTTTAAAAATTTTTAGTATCGGGGAAAAATATGGGTCCTTAAAATATTCTTGTTCAAGAAATTTTTCATCCGTAAGTTGTGCTGAAACTGTAGAGATATTATTTAAGTGTGTTCGCTGTGATAAGGCATCTGCAACAACATTAGTTTTTCCTGGCTTATATTTAACTTCGAAATCCATTGACTGTAGGACTTCCAACCATCGAGCCTGTCTTTGCGAGAGTTGGTGTTGAGATGTGATATATTCCAAGGATGCATGGTCGGTAATTACAGTAAACTTGCGTTCTTCGATATATAGTCTCTATAACTTAATAGCATGAACAATGGCTAATAATTCTTTTTCATGTGTAGGGTAATTTAGTTCAGCGGAAAACAACTTCCTTGACTCATAGGCAATTGGTTGATCACCTTTTCTATGGTCTTAACTAAGAACAGCACCAATTGCAAGGTCAGATGCATTTGTGGTGATAAAGAAGAGTTTGGTAGGGTCAGGAAGAACAAGGACAGGGGCGGAAATAAGTTGATATTTTAAGGTTTCAAAGGCAGCTTCCTCAGACTGTTCTCACTTAAAAGGTTGGTCCTTATAGAGCAATTTTGTGAATGGTGCAGAAGTAGATGAAAATCCCTTTACAAATTTCCTATAGTAACTAGCCAGCCCGAGAAATGAACAAATCTCAGTTATATTAGTAGGTGCAGGCCAACTCTGAATGGTAGCAATTTTTTTATCATTGATCAAGAGTCCTTCTGCAGATACGTAATGACCAAGATATTCAACTTTTTCATTAAAAAATTCACATTTACTAATCTTGGTGTAGAGTTTGTTTTCTTTTAAAATTTCTAGGACTTTCTGGAGGTGGTGTATATGATCTTGTTTTGTTTTACTATAAATGAGGATATCATCAAGGTACACAATAATGAATTTATTAAGATATTCCGTAAAAATGTTGTTCATCAAGGTTATGAATATAGCGGGTGCATTTGTAAGGCTGAAGGGCAATACAAGAAATTCGTAATGACTATAGTGAATACGAAATGCAGTTTTAGGAATATCTTCTTTCTTAACCCGAATTTGATGGTATCCAGAGTACAAGTCGATTTTTGTAAAATACTTAGCACCAACCAACCTGTTCAGCAATTCGTCAATACGTGGAAGTGGATACCTGTTTTTAATGATAATTTTATTCAAAGCCCTGTAATCAATACATAGTCTTAAGGTTCTGTCTTTCTTATGAACAAAAAGAACTGGAGTGCCAAAAGGGAAGGTGCTGGGGCGGATAAAGTTTTTTTTTAGCAAGTCAGCTAACTGACGCTTTAATTCGTTTAATTCTTTATAGAATATTCGGTATATGGGGCGAAATGGGGTTCTGACCCTAGTGCAAGGTTAATAGCATGGTCGACATTTTGTTCTAGAGGCAGGTGGTCTGGTAAGGTTTCAGGAAAAATTTCTTTAAAGTCTTAGAGAATCTTTCGAACTTCGAGTAGTGGGTGGCTGGTGTTTCCATTATCTTCTTTATTAACATGTATGGTATAAATTTCTTCATTACTAGGTACTTTAGCTAATTGTTGCTGAGAAATGAATACCAAATTACAACTGTATTCTTTATATGTATTCCGGGGGTCTGCTTGGACTTCAATTGTTTTAGACCCATACTGAAAAACCAAGGTATTTTTCCTCCAATTGATGTTGGGGTTAGCATAATACAACCATGGTTTGCCAAGTATAGCATCATAATGTTGGAGTTTTAAGACTTGCACGGAAATGTCAGAGATATTATAAGGTCCTAGTTCCAGTTTTATAATGTCAATCGCTTTGTTAGTGCTGGCTTTCTGGTCACTTGCTAATTCAACTGTAAGGGAAGAAACAATTTTTGAAGTTAATTTATGACAGGCTATGAAATTTTCATCAATAAAATTGTAGGAAGCTCCGCTGTCTAGTAGAATCCAAGCAGAGTGCCCGTTGATTTTGTCGTAAAACCTCAGCAATTGTTCACGATTCCCTTCTACTTGTGTTAATTCTAAACTATTGTTTGTAACATTATATGATGTTGGTTCTGTTCCGTCTTCTACACTGGTAAGTTTAGATTTATTTTTGGATCTACAATTTTTTGCATAATGGCCTGATAATCCGCACTTAAAACAATTTCCTTTTGCTCGTTCTTTTCATGCTTGTGATTACTTAAGGAATTTCTGGCATAATCTAATTCCATTGGTGTGGGTCCCCTATTTCCTCTTCCGAGTTTGTGTGTGTATTTTTGTTGTAGTTTGTTGGAAGAAGGTCTACCAGTTCTGAACATTGTAGTGTCGTATCGAATTGCCAGTGCCCAAGCTTCTTCTAATGTAGCTAGCACCTGATAAGCTACCTCCATTCTGGTGGTGTGTTTGAGACCCTCGATAAAGTAGGTAACTTTGTTTATTTCATTCATGTTTTTCACTTGACCTATTATATTATGGAATTGGGTTCTATATTCCTATACAGACCCAGTCTGTCATAACTTTTTGAGTTGCTGATACAGATAGTATTGATAATTAGAAGGCTGAAAGGCCTGTTGTACTGCTGTAGCAAAAGCATCTCAGTCATCAAAAAGGGTCTGATTCTCTGCTATTGTAACTTTATTTAGATACCAATGTAAAGCAGCACCTTCAAAACCTGTGGCTGCATAATGAATTCGGGTCTCATCAGCATTAATCCCTTGGGCATGAAAAATGCTTTGGACTTGAAGAAGCCAGGCAACAACATTTTCTTTTGCTTCTCTTTTATATGTTAGGATTTTAATGCTAATTTTTAAATTATTATTAGGGATGTTTTGATTTGCATTTGCATTGGCATTTCCTTTCACGTTAAGAGCATCCGTCAACTCTTACTGGGTTTAAACTAATTGTGCGATGCCAGTTAATAAGTTGTCAATAGTAATAGAAAAGAAAAAAATAAATAAATAAATAAAATAAGTGGTGTGGGGTGAAAGTGTGTAGTGTGGAGTATAAGTGTGTATATAAGCAAGGTGGATAAATCTGCTGCTACCAAAATGTAAGATTCTGAATAATAGAGTTAAGAAATCTCAAAAAGCGTAAGCGATTTTCTTTATTTATTGTTGTTTCTTTATTTTATTAATCTTACAAGTTACTTTTTATTATATTTAGAAAAGAGCGACTTTTATACATTTTGATTAATAATATATATATAATCCTAAGTAATTAAATAAATTAGTTGCGCAAAGCTAATTAATGCATCGTAATCTTAGTAATCTTATTTTTCAGGGCATATATATAACTTATAAGGGGTCATATAATAAATATAATGATACGATCGTTATGCTAATAAATAATAATCGTCATGTTAGTGTAAATAACATGGGTCGCAGTTAGATAAATTATAAAATAACGATCTAAAAGTTGTATGCATTAACCCCGGCTTGTTCTTGTTACAAGTTCGTTAAACATCTACTTATTATTGCACGTACGGGCTTGTGCTATATATAAAAAAAAGTAATTAGTGGTACGTGTTACTGTGTTACACCTTTTTAGTATTAGTATTAGTGTTAGTATCTTTTTTCTTTTTTCACTTCTTTATGAGAAGATATTATTAAATTTGCAATATCCTATTGTAGGGCAGTAGTCTGATATGGCTTTTTAGAATAGATGGTCTTCGAATTTTCTATTAATTTACTATAATATATCTCTTGTAGATTTATTTGTCTAGTGCAGTAGGTTGCTTGTAAGTGTTCTTAGAAGTAACTGTAGAATGTTAGATCTAAATATTAAGCTTAAAGTATTTTATATAGCCTGTGATAAAACAATCTTAATAAAGGATCACTAGCAAGACTGCCAAAGTTGAAAAAAAATAAACTAAACAAATTTTATTAAAAAATTAAAACTAGTTTACTTAAATTTTATATATAAAATATTAGAGAGTAGCTTATTTTTAGTAGCTTATTTTAGTAACAAATAATATATATCAATAATTATTATTTATTATTAATTATATATATTGATATATAATATTTAATTTTTTTGATATTAAGGTGACCTTTTTGTTATATTTCTTTTATTTAATTATAGTTTAACTTTTACAGTATGATATACTTATACTGTATATATATTTGGAGAATACAACTAGCTATATATACAATTTTTGATTGCTTATTAAAATAGTCTGCTTATTGGTTTAAGATATAAGTTTTTGCAGATCTTAGACCAATATTAGAATATTTTAGAAGAAAAAATAATATAATATACCAAACTGGAAGATTATAAAGATCTATAATCTGAATGTTACTAATTTGAGAATTGTATAGAAGTGAAAAGATAAATAATATAAGGAATATAATCTAGTTAGATATATAGTTTCAGAATGCAGAAGTAGCATCAGATGCAGGTCTGATTCTCTCTACTAGTAAGCAGTTTAATAGCAATATCTTTCTAAGTAGTAAATATTCTGACTGCTAGTGTTAATCTTAGCTATAGTATGCTGATAGTACAACTAGAATATATTTAGATATTTATTAGAGCAGCCAGATAAATATCAGAACTCTAAGTTGAGTTAATATAACCTAGTTTTAGATT